GGAAGGTGGGCCGTCGCGCGCCATGGTCGACGCTCATGCGCTGCCGCTCGGTCCTCGCCTAGTTTTCTCTCGGCCATGCTAGCAGACGCGACGATCGCGTGCCTAGGCATGGGCTCCTTAAGGTGGCGCGCAACCCGTCACGCACCTCAAGAGCTTTCGCATGGACTAGCTCACCGCCGAGGCAAAGCACCCTGGTCTCGGCTCGCTTTTCGCCGACTACCGGTACATGCGCCAATTTGACGCTGCCGTGCGTTGCGACAAGCTCTTCCCCTGCACGACCTGGACCGACAAGCACAAGTACCATGCGTGCAAGATGTGTCTCGGTCCTCAGCCCGTCGATGGGGTGCACACCGACTGGGTGCACACGCGTGGATGGCCGCTACCGCGACCTACGGCTACCGCGACCTCCTCCTCCACAGCGCGAAGCGCTACGCGCCGAAGCTCGAGGACGATCGATTTTCGGCTCGCATGCGCGTAGCCAAGCGGTGCGGCCAAATGTGAGCCGTGTAACAAACAATTGCACTTTCATATTTGCATTCTTATACTAGTATCTCCGACCGTGTCGCGCCACAGCAGTCTTTACAAACCTCCAAGCCGAGATCGCCTGCCGCGACGACCAAGCAGGTCGCCGTAAGCGTTCTCTGCAGCCTCGTTCCAGGCTCGTGAACGCTCGTGACCAATCTCGAATGCAACGAGCGTGGACGACTGTCCCTCCACCGTAGCTTCCGATTGGCGCAAGTTTCCGACTACCGCGTTCAGCTCGAGGACGGCAGTATCGTTCCGTCGGCACGCTCTGGGTGCTGGATCGAGGTGACAGACGACACGACGCTTAGTAGTCTACGGTCCGCGTACAGGAGTCTGCGTCGTGCGAGCATGCGCTATGCGAGTGGGTTCTACTACACTGTACGAGATGGATCTCTGAGCCCATTTCCAACGACGACGTGCTACAGTCTGTATGCATTCAGGAGTAGCAAAGTCTGCAAGTTAGTATTGTTAATATGATTTTACGCGAAATACGTTTGATTGATTGAATGTTATTGGGACTACAAAGCGAGCCCGGCGAGTCGAGCTGGCGATGTAGTTAAAGGGTTGGCGCCCTAAAATACAAAATCAAAATGTGTAAAAGACAAGAGGAGAATGAATATAGGCATACCGGCACGTTCGAGAGAAGAATCGCCATGCGAATCTTTTCGAGCTTGGACGCGCCGAGGAAGCTTGCCTTGGCGGACAACGTGATCGTTAAAGCCTTCGTGTTCAAGCACGACATTGGAAAAATGCAGGCCTTGCAAGACCTTGGATGTCTTCGCTGCCAGAAGAAGAGCGCGATGCAGCGCGATCCAGGTTACCAAGCCCGGATCGTGCGCTGCGCTCTTAGCGACGGCGGCTGCGAGATCCGCGTCGCCGGCGAGCGCGAGGAGGAGCCCGTGTGCGGTCGAGGTCGGCGCCTCCGCCAGCCCGGCCTTGGCCTTGACCATTGCTGCCATCATGGTGTCCACCATGAACTTGGTCGCTGCGTCGGTCTTGGGTCGCGCCTGTCTTGATCAGGGCGCGGACACGACCCTTGTCGCGGTGGTCTACCGCGCGTCATGTTCCTTCTTGAGGCGCTCTGCGCCGTCGTCCTGCGCCGCCATGCCGCGAGAGAGCGGCCATTGCGGCGCGTGCAGAGATGCTGATCTTGAGTATGTTGTGGGTCCGGTCCACGCGAGCAAAGCAAATGTGACGTCGACGAAGACGAAGGATAATTGAATTAAAAACTCGCATGCCAATCAAACTAATAGTATGCCAACGACGAAGTAGAAAGTATACGAAACGTTATTGTATTGGGGTGCAAAGTCGCCAAAAAGCCTTTGAATTGTGTCGGACTGTCAGAAAATCCCCCTCGATCTGAAGATGTTAGGCGTTTTGTATGCAGTCAACTCGATCATGTCGACCGATGACGTGGCGCATTTCGAAGTGAATTGGAATGATGGTCTTAGGGTATGGGCCGAGAGAACGTCTCCGGGCATCGTCGTCAGCAGCGTCGACGTCGCTAGTGTCGCCGCTTGCGCCTACTGCAGCAAGGGCGCCAGATCGACCATGCCTGCGCTACCTGGTTAACGTCATGGATGCCATCGCCGTGTACGTACTGCCCATGCCATGTGCGTCAGGCGCGACGTCGGACAGGTCGACGTGGTCAGCGCTGCCATCCAATGCGTTTAGTCGTTTGTATCGACTAAGGTTCGACTGGAGGTGGCAAATGCGAATGGTATATTTGGCACATACCGCAAAGACCCGCGGTTATGCCGAATCCTATCAAACGGTTTCGGAGCGGCTTCCGGTTGGCGCGCGCCAGTTTTGGTTTGTCCGCGAGAGCGAGAAGACGAGCATCGCCCACGAAGCGCCGACTGCTGCATGCTGCCCGCGCGCTCCGAGGACGATGGACCGACGGTCATGGACGCTCCGCAGACGACGCAGGATCACCCTGCCCATCGCGACCAAGGCCAAGACCATGCACTACAAGAGCATGGGCGGCAGCGCCGACAAGTATGCAAGCCAAGGTCGTCCCAACGGTGTCAACCAGCTTCGCGCCGACCGAGCGCCGGCCTCGCTCGGACTTTGGTGACACATTGCGCGGTCTGTGTTCGCCTTCGACCGCGCAAAGGTGGTGCAGGGCCTCAAGGCGCGCTTCGCCAAGGTGCGGGCTGTCAACGAGACACCGGTACAAGTCGTTTGATGCACGTCGGTTTGCTAACCTTGCCGCTCATCGACACGAGCTGCTGTCGCCTTGCGTTGAGCAGGAAAATATTGTCCCGATGGAAAACCTTGGCGCGTGCATAAAGCGCAAGGTGCATCGCAAGGTGCAATCCAAGCGCATAGCCACTGCAATGGATAATTTGATGGTCACGGCTGCGCCCAAGCGACTTTGGCAACGAACCACGGCAGGAACGTCTGTCGCTAGCATGCTTGCGTTCAACGACCGGTTGCTGCATTCGTGGGAGACGCGGCTGTCAACAGAAGGTACGATGCATGCGCTCTTGACGTGTTCTCTACTATCACACCAGCGTCGCCAAACGGATGCGTCCACGACACGCGCATTGCGTTGCTGGAGCTCAAGTGCGAGCTCCACGAGACGCTGGTTACAAGACGTGCGAGATTACGTGCATAGCACACCGTACTCTCAAGGCGATGGCGACAAGACGGACCACAACAATTCTATGACATCGCATCACGATCACAGAGCGTCTCCTACGACAGTTTAATCGACGACGACCTCGTCGGCTTTTCTTCGCCGTCTACGCCAGCAGCCGCTTCTCCTCGATGAAGCGCACAACTTGCTCGGTGGTCTTACCGTGTCTCGGGACGAGCTTGCCCTTCTGCCACGCGACATAATCTACGCAGCCCATCAGATCGGGTACGAAAAGTGACGCGGTAGCGCTGGCGTAGATGCTGCAATCGCCCGAGCCGTGCGGGAACGCGCCAGGCATGCGCGCAAGTGCTGCTCGATATACATGCAGAGAAGCGCTGAAATGCATTCCACGATAACAACGGTCGTACCACTGTCGCTTCGAACAAAGCCGCCGGTGCGCGCCGAGCTTTAACCGGATTGCGTCGGTATCCACGATACCAAAGTTGGTCGCTCTCTTCGCCGCGCATGATCCCCCTCCCGCATGGGCGACGTCCGCGTGTCGAGCGGTAGCGCCAGCTAGTGTCGAGCGTCGTAACTCGAGATGCGCGCCATGTACGCCAGCTGCCGCACGGCCTTGGCGAGCGTCGTAACTCGAGATGCGCGCCATGTACGTTTGCACGCAGCTCGTGATTGCTGCGTCTCGCGCGACGCCTTTGTAAAAGCATATCTACTCAACAGAGAGACATGGTGAGCTTCCTGCTGCGAGTACAACTCGAGGTCACGTGTGACGTCTCTATGTAGTCCTCAACGACAATGCGGTCGCCTGAGAACGACAACCGCGGCGTCTCGGGGCCTCGGGCGTGCCGATGGTAAAGAAGCCGAGCTTGCGTGCGCCTACGACCGTCCTGGGCCCATTGTGTCGGATCATATGAGTGACCGACACCGTTTTGACCGACCAGAAGGAGCCGCGGGTCGGACGCGTTGACAATGAGGCTGCCGTCGCTACGTTTTAGTCAAACGAGCGAAACTTGGATTCACACGATGCGCCAAAGTCGGACGCGTGGTTGCGTCCGCTGTCACTACTGCTGCGTGGAACTGTGGACGCCAGTGCGCCGAATGCGCGATGGAGAAGATGAAGAAGGAACGACGACGACGAGCAAGATTCTAATGCCAATGCGAGTGAGGCTGATGGCGTTCTTTGCTTTGTAATCCTGTCAGTTGCAGTCGTCTTCTTGCCACTGGTTGGCCCCAAATCAGGATCCTCGGCGTCGATTTCCCCACCAGTTTCGTCTGCAACAGATCGAACACCCTGCGTTGCGAGTGCCAACGCCAAGCCGTGATCGGACACGTGCAAATGTCGTCGTCCGGCATTAACGCCAAACTTGCCATGCGTTGGATGCCCAGAAGAATTGCATCGCGCGAAATGCTGTTCTTGGCGAGCCTCGAGACGTCAGACGCACGACAAAAGACATGCCACTGCACCACCAAGAGAGCAACGTCCTGATAAGCCACCGTATCGGAGCTGCTCGTATACAAGTAGCGGGCAAGGACGTGCTTGCGGCAAGCCGGGGCCCGTCGCCGCTCGGACGCGTTGGCCAAGTTGAAGCTGTGTTTGCGAAACTCTTTTGTCTACGAGTGTGCAGGGTGCATTGAGGGAATGACCATAAAACAATAGCGACCTGGTGGGGTTCTTCTCTAAGAACAGCAAGATAGAGCCTGTTCTGAGCGCTTGCACATCGCAATTCGACGCCCCGTTTATGTTACCGATTGCCAGGACACGGCGCCTGCTCGTCTGCATGGCCGCCGATGCGTGCGCCAACCAGCGCTGCTTCCGCCGGCCACCGCTGCCTGCGCGACTTGCGACGCCATCGACACGCTACAGACGAGCCCAACCCGACACGCTCGCCAGCAAGCACGCGGCAGTCGAGTGCCAGGCCACTGCGCGCACGACGCCCGCGCCCAAGAGTAAGAAGGCGCTAAGAAGCGCTGGCCACGGTCTCTACCACGTTCGTGCGTCGTCAGGTGGCATGTCAGTCGACACGAACCACGCCAGCTTGAAAAGACGCAGGCATGGCGCCAGGTCGAGGTCACGCACGCACGGCCTACCGCATGATACAAGCGGCACTTCGAATCTTGCGGCACATCTATAATGAAGACTCGGCGTTTACATGTTAGTACACTATGACTTCACTTCACGACCTGCACGCCTTTGTCGAGTGGTCCGAGTAGAGGAGTGTGCACGCGAGCTATCGCACTGCGAGTGGGTTCTACTACGAGATGGATCGCTGAGCTCATTTCCAACGCCCTCACTGCTGCTACAATTGTACTCAGGCGTAGCATAGTCTCTGAGTTAGTTGAAGCAAATATGACTTTACGAGAAAAATACGTTTGATTGATTGAATGTTATTGGGGACTACAGAGCGAGCCGGGCGGGCCGAGCTGGCGATGTAGTTAAGGGTTGGCGCCCTAAAATACAAAATGAAAATGTGTAAAAGACAAGAGGAGAATGAATATGCAAACCGTTGGTGGAGCGGCAGCCGCGTTCAGTTGTGCTGCCAGCCACGTGTTGTGCAGCTGGAGACTGGCGAGGCGGTCGCT